TTTGGGAACATCTGTTGTCACCCTCATCATCCACCAACAATAAGATCGCCTTCCCGGCGTTGAAGAAACTCAAATTCCATTCCATAAAAGAATGGGAAAAGTGGATGAGATGACTCTGTTACAATCATGCCTCTTCATTCATTAACAATAAATTATTGCATCAAGTTAAAGGCAGTGCCGAGCCACCTTCTTTGTAATACTACGCTGCAAGAACTGCGTATCAAAGGTTGCCCTGTTCTCGGAGAATGTTTCAAGAAGGGGGAGGGGTGGATTGGCCTTCCATCTCCCACATTTCTATAATCCAAATTGATGATGAATTGGGGCTCTGATAAGTTTTTGCCTGCAATTTCTGCTCATATATTTCCAAAGCCTCAAACGTACAATACATTCAGCCATATCTGTGTGTATAATTTCTACGTTATTGTTTTCTTTAGAACATGGATGGAGATTCAATACAAAATCTGCTAGTCTCTTCTAGATTGATTCTGTTCTTATGTGAACTTGAGGATAACCAAAATTTTCCTCTAAATAATATAGAGAATATCTACGGCTATAGACTTATAACAACAAAACTCAAGCATCTCAGTCTAGTCTAGTGCTGATCATCACTAATCTTCTCCTCTTTCTACTTAGATCTTGTTGTCTATTCTCAATTGAAAATGTCTTCAAAACGTTGCTTATGACATTGAAGACGTTTCGGGTGAATGGAGCGCTGTGATTCTCAGATCCCAAATAGAGGAATCTCAAAGCTCTTCATCTTCAAAATGTCGGGTAAATTTTGCCTCAACCCTCGAGCATTTCAATTCCATGACTGGTTCGATTTCTCCCTTTCAGCTTTATGTCGGTTATCCAACGTCATGATTCTCATATGAGCGCCCGTGCTCGTATGGTGTCGTTTATGTTTGACACTTTTCCCTAAAGATCCTTCTGCTTGATTCCATAGATCCGATAAATGTAGCTTTGAAAAGAGGGTAAATTACACCAGTTCACCACTAATGATATTCTCACTCCTTTGGTCGTTCAAATTTATTTTTTATTTTAATCATTAAAATTTTAAATTATTCATGTTTTAATCACTTTAATTTATTTTATTAATATGTTTCTACGATGTAATATATTTATATTATCTTTTCATGTATAATTAGAATAAAATAATAAAAATAAACCCTAAATTATACTTCAAACCTGAGACAAAAACCCAAAACTTTAAATAGCAACCCACAAACCTTAAATTACAACCTTTAAGCTCCAGGCTCAAATACTAAATTCCAAATGATAACACACAAAACCTAAATTGTAACACAAATCCTAAATCTTAAATCACAACCCCACACTCATTCACAATATAATTTTCTCTATCAAATCATACTCTTGGTGGACTTTGATTACATACTCGAACTGCTTATATAACAATATTGACTGATTTAAGTTACTTTGACATATCTATCTGATAACGATGGAGCCTGCTTCACATAATTTCTATAAAATCAATAATGTCACACTCTTCTTATGTTACAGCATAGATTACTTGATAGACGAATAGAGAAAATCATTGATTCATTGATTATAGATGGTGATGAGAGACTTCGAGTGGCCAAAAATTGAGTGAAGAGATTTTATAAAGTTAAACAGTAAAGCATAATACGAATGTATTGTGTCAAGCAACAGTTTCATGTTCGTGGAAGAAAATAACAAATTTTGTTTGTTATTGTTGAAAACCCTCTTCTCATCCTCCCTTTCCCTCCCATCCTCTTCTTTTCTTTTTCATTTATTTTTATTTTAATTGTACGTGGTACATATATTAATAAAATAATAATAATCAAAATATTTATAATAAGTTAAAGTAATTAAATAAAATAATTTAAAAGTTGAAAAATTAAATTAAATTATTTAAAATTTTAACTAAGGTAAAAAGATGGTTGAGTAGTAGTGAACGGTATAATTTACCCTTGATAAAAAAAACTGGTTCAAATCGGTCAATGAAGACGTTCATATATTTTGTTGAGGGAAGATGGTTGAGTACTAAGCCACTTCTTTGTTCCTTGCCTCCCACGTGGAAGTTGCCAGTCCTTGAACATGCAGAGATATGGGAAATGAAGAGTTTGAAAGAAGTGGGCCAAGAATTTATGGGAGCAGAGAAAAGGGCCAAACATCATCATCATCATCATCACATTGCCTTCCCCAGTTTGAAGCATCTTAAATTTCAAGTTATGGAAGAGTGGCAAGAGTGAATTACGATAATCTACCACTACTATGCCCCACTTCTTCAGTTCTTTGTTCCTTGAAAATCAATAGTTGCCTCAAGTTAAAGTCATTGCCCCGCCAATTTCCTCAGAAGACAACTCTGCAAGTATTAGATATCTTGGATTGCCCGATCCTGAAGGACCGTTGTTTGAGGAACGGGACAGGGGAGGACTGGCCCTACATCTCTCGTATCCCTACCATCACAATTGATGGTGAAGACATGAACAGAGACGGAATTGATCAAACTCTTATTCCGTAAGCTGCTTCAAGATCAGCCCTGCCAGGTCGGAGCAACAACAAAAAGTAAGAAGGCCAAGGTAACTTATTTGGTCTTAATCTGTATATCTCATAAAATTGACATTAAATTGTTGTAACTTTGCAATGTACTGCATCGAGTATCATGAAGTCGTCTTCTAAAAGTATTCCTTGCTTTGTGCTATGCAGTAATCAGCAATGAAATTTCATCTAAAGAAAGCCAGCATCATGCTGGAGCACCTTTACTTTGTAATGATAATGAACTACGGGACTTACAATCTGACTTATATATAGAAACTGCTTGCCAGGGGAAATAAGAGGTCGTTTACCATGTTCTTATTCTTAGATATTGAATTCTGGTTAGGCTGTTTTGACAATTTCATTTCCAAATATTTCTAAAGGGAATATTACGAAAAGTAAAACAAAATTTGAAAGCAATTCAATTTATAGTGTTGGTTTGATAGTCGCCCTTGCGTATGTGTATATCGAAGGTATTGTTTTCCTTAGGCATCCATGGTTCCTCAAGGCTTTGCCACCTGATGGTGTGCCTTTCCGGATTCAAACCGACCTCTCCTCAAAGAGAGTCTGTTGCCCTCACTAGTGCCGATTGAGCTGAAGGAGACTCTCAGCTAAATCAGTCCTCGTGAAGGCCAAAGGACTCTCTTAGAATATATGTTCTTGGTTTGATCCAAAGAGGTGTCTTGAGAGACGTGTCTAAAGAAGATGAAATATTTGATGTAAGCATGACGATGAACGACGGTAATTTTAATATCACATACAAAATCCTGATGGTTTCATCTACGAAAATCCTGATGGTTTCATCTACGTAAATCCATGGCACATTGCTATATGTTTTGTATATTCTTTTTCCTGATTCTGATTATGGGATGAGGATTTATCTTAAATCTACAATTTATTTTAAAGAGATTGTCTAACCTCTGCAATTTTGCTTTACAGATTTAAACCCTTCATTTTGGAAATACTTGCTTCTCTCATGTCTTCTGCTTTAACTGGAAAGAAGATTTACCTACGCCTGCACACTGAACCAGATGGTCATCTTTTAGTCCAAATAAACATGAAATTAGGAAGTAGTTGTTGTTTGAAAACCATTAAAAGCATTGGCAAGATCGATCTTCATCGACACTTGATCAACAATTCAACCCAAGAACCCCATCCGGGATTAAGCAGTACTTCCTCCGCAAACTAAACTCCTGCAACAGATATCTTTGATTTAGCAAATAATGATATATTTGTACACCAGGTTGCATACCATTTGCAATGTGGTATTGCAATCTAGCGTCAGCTCTATGATCTATTTCCCTTTTGCTTGATTTCAATCTCTAGCTGAGTTTCAGAGATTTCCCTGAAGTTAGTTTAATGTAGCAGCTTATCATACAGCAGAACTCAAGAATGAGCAATAATCAGGCTGAGGCATTTCCAAAACGCAAATAGTAGCAGATTCTTGCCAAAATACATGCAAAATTAAACATGTCATCGGACATCACAAGTGTTTGCAGTGAGCATATTAATTATTCTTCGATATAAAAAATAGGGTAAACTACGTATTAGTCACCCACCTATTCTTGTGGTTCCATTATAGTTATTCAACTACATTTTAAAAAAATCATACTTAACTTTACGTTTTATCGTCCGTCGTTAAATGATAAATACAAACCAATGATGGACCAAAGGGGGATTGGTGCCCCTCCCTCTGAATTTTTCAAATCATCATATATTTTAGATTTTTCTTTGTATTTTCTATTGATAATTTTTTTTACCCCTAGAATTTTAAAAGTTCAACCCTTCTTAAAATTTTAAAAATTTGCAACCCGACATAAAAAAGTGCATCCTTCCCTAAACATAACTATTGATATGACAATTTATTTATTTTTTCAAAGATGATGTGACATTATCTTATAGTGATATGTTAATATCATCGTTGCTTTTTTTAATGACATAGAACCAAAATATAGCATTATATATGATTTTGAAAAAAAATAGTTTGGTGATCAAAATGAAACCGTGAATATAAATGAGCGAGTACATACATAGTTTACCCAAGAAATATTTGTGCAAATTGTTTTTTAAATATATCCATTTTCTTTAAAAAAGAATAAAATTTTGGTGATTTGCATTTGTTTGACTAAAAAAATTAAGAGTTGAAAGAAAAAGAAAAAGGAAGAACCTTTGCCCACTCAAATAGGCAAAAGAATACAAACAATTGGCCCTCTTGGTGCCTCCAAAAGCTCTCCATTGTGGCTGAGGCCATCGTCTCATCCTTCCAAAGAGCACAACCGTCCTTTCTTTCATTGCAAACTCCTAACCGAACCCAAACTCTTCATCTCTTCATTTTCTTATTTGTCATAATATATGTTATAAGGCTGTTCAAGAAGTTCTGAATATTGTAGGCTGATTACGATTTTGAGTCTTTGTTCTGGCATTTTTACAATCACCCAGTAAACAAAAATGGCGCTTTCCTATACCCATCATATAACCTTTCATTTTCTGCTCTCGATTTAAAGACATCTGGGTCTTTGCATTTGCAGCCCATTTTTCGTGTACAATTCAGTTCCAATGTTTCTTCTGCACCATTCACGGAGAAACACTAGTTGCGGAGGTACCAAAGGGACCAATGGGTCTACAACAACAATAATCAGAAGCTGTTATCTCTCAACAGTGATGATCAAGCCGCGTCTTGCTCCATGTCGTCCGATTGCGACTCCATCAGATTAAACGACATCGCTTTGCAGCTGCCGGAGCTCAGGAAGTTGCTTGGAGTTTTGAAGCATAAGAGAGAGAGATGTGGCTGCCAAGTGCCCCAGAAGGGACCGGGTAATGTCTTCTTGGTGGGTACTGGACCTGGAGATCCCAATCTCTTGACGTTAAAAACTGTCAAAGTCATTCAAAAAGCTGACCTTTTGTTGTACGATATGTTAGTTTCTAATGCTGTATTGGACTTGGTTGGCCCCGATGCCAGGCTTCTCTATGTCGGCAAAACTGCTGGCTATCATAGCCGAACTTAGGTAAAGTTCTTCAATTATGAATGGCTTATGTCAGTTATGCAATTGATTAGTAGTTCTTTACTTCACAATTGTGAAAAGATTGAATTTTGTTGCTGTTCTTGCTGGAAGAGATCCATGAGTTGCTTCTGAGTTTTGCTGAAGCTGGAGCTAATGTTGTCAGACTTAAAGGAGGGGGTCCACTGGTGAGTCATTCAAACAATTACCAACATTTCCCCCCTGAAATTAGTAGAAATGCTTATCAAGTCTAGTTCTTTTTTTCCTTCTGGAATAATTGTTTTGTTTTTCAGGTATTTGGAAGGGGTGGAGAAGAAATGGACTTTCTGCAACAGCAAGGGATTCAGGTCAAGGTTATCCCTGGTATGATACTGTAATGCTGTCAGATTTAAAACATAAAGGGAACTTATAATCCTAGCCATCCGAAATATCTCTAATATTTAATAAAACTGAAATAAATAAATATTACAATAATATAAGCTCCTGCGTCACTTAACATATTACTTTTCAACTCATTCTTTATCATATTATATGGACACTTGATTAGCTTTTGGAAATTTTCTCCATGGAAATCCTCAATTTTCTCAAAGGGTTTAAGTGTGTTTTGGTGTGTCAAAACTACAGTGCATGGATAGAGGGTAAAGCAGAGTTGTCTTGATCATATGTCATGCATTCAAGAGACTGCATTCATATATACTAAGGTAGTTTGAGAATGGTTTCTAATGGTAGGAACTGAGAAATAGTTTGGGTAATGAAACGGAGCACTTTTCTCATAGGTTAATTGCATCTGCTTGAGCTACTATCATATTGGTTCATGCTTTTGAAACCTGTAGGTCCTGTGTGGACTGCTGAGTTCTGGTTTATGAAAGATGTTTTATATTGAAGAAGAAATGCAATGCACACTAATATATAGAACCGTGTATAAGAAATGCGGTTCAACTCTAATATACTTGTTGCATTGCAGGTATTACTGCTGCTTCTGGAATATCAGATGTAACCCCCTTAAACCGATGCGGGTAATCCGATCTGATCTGGAGTGTCACATTAGGGCCACCGAAGCGACCTACTGTAAAATAGCGGAAAATTTAAAACTTTTATTAAAACATGTAACTTATAAAATGATTTATCAGTATGCAGAAATAAAACATATTTCAGACTCATATATAAAACAAAATACAATTACATGTCCCCTAATCACATGTACCATACTCTGCAAACAACGCTGGAAGAACTCCCTTACTGAAGTTGATAGCTGCACTAGTACAATTTTTTTAACCTGCAATGGTGAGTAATAGAGTGAGCTTCGGAAAGCTCAGTAATACAGAATTACCAGATGATGCTGAAGAACGTGCAGATATAAATAAACATATATTTCCTTATCGGTTTAGACATCTACAGATCTTTATGTTGAGCAGAAATCCTATTGATATTTCAGGTAGTAACAGACAGTGAGCTTTCAGTTTAGAGAAATATTTCGGATGACTGAGTTCAGGAGATCATAATATTGTATTTAGTGTGTTCCCGCCAAATCAGTGAAGATCATAATATTGTATTTAGTGTGTTCCCGCCAAATCAGTGAAGAGATACCGATTTTTTCGTTTTTTTTAAACAGTGACAGTTTAAAACATATTTTTATTCAAAAATCATATTAATCCCTCCAACCGAACACTCCATAATGTGTAGGTTCCCCAGAACCGTACACCCACCTACACATCAAGTAAGGACTTACCCTGAGCACAGAGCAGAGGAGCCTGCAGTAACGATAACTTTCTCCAACAACACCCTCCCATAAAACATTTATAAAAAACCATAGTATTCCCTCCAACCGAACACTCCATAATATGTAGGTTCCCCAAAACCATACACCCACCTGCATACCTAATAAATTTCATGATTCCATAAATCAGGAACAATTCATATTTTCCAGTGAAAACATGAAACCATATAACACATTTTAGGTAAAATAATTCATAAACCAGTAAATTCCATGATTTCATAATTCATGTACAGTTCATATTTTCGATGAAAACCGTAATCGGAGATCACATACCATGTTGCCATGGTTCATAAACCAATAAATCAATACTTTAGTTAAAACTCATTTCAAACATATAAATCGTCATGTAGTACATGTGGAACACACTAGAGGATTAACGTATTTATCCAGATATATTGGATAATCTTATCGGGCAGAAAAACACGGATCTTCAGTATACTGATAAATGCCATAATTTAGAATCACTATCGGAAGAGTTTATTAATTGACAGAATCATCAGTTATTCATAATATGATTTTGGTGTTTAGTTTTATTCCATTCATTTCAGAGCTCGAGGATATCCAATCATTCTTGAGCTTGTTGATATTCTTGGGTCATTTCCATTCTAGGGGTATTCTAGTCATTTTACAAATCCAGTGTATTACAATCATTTCTTTCCGTCCGATCTTATTATCGAATTTAAACTTATCATTTCTTTCAGTCATTTCGTACAATTATGTCAAATGAGCACTATCGATAAATTATTCTTAACTCGAATATTTTCAGGTCAATTGCCTTCTCGTAAGTTACAATCAGGTTATCAGGAATTTTCTGTACAAAGACAGAATCTTAACAATTAAATCCGTAATTTATCGAGTTAAATACGAATCCTCAAAGTACTTTCTCATTCAGGGTCAACTCGGACTATTTTTTACCTCTCAATGGCATTTTCGTAATCTCTTAACCAGATAACTTCGGTATTAACTCTTAACGAAAATAATTATAATTTAGAGATCCTATGGTTAATTGTTTTCCCGAACATTCTCTGATCTTGAAATGATTCCCTTAACAGACTTCTAGCATCTTGCACAAACCCTCATGGGGTTAAAAACCAGTTATCCAAATCTTCTAAGCAAAACTAGCATTTCTTATGCACATTTATAATTTTACCGGATCAATATATCTTTTCAGAATTATTAACCAATTTATAGGGACAATTCTTGTCATCTTACAATATAAGGGTATTTTCGTAATTTTACCATAATGGAGTATTCTCATAATTTCTCATCCAAATACCTTTAATGAAATAAATTATATGCTACAGATCCAAGCTGATTCTTTTATCACTAATCACATAACTCGTAATTTAATTCTAGCAATCCCTCAATTTCTTATATCAGTTTTCCGAGCCGTATTCATTTACCGAATTTTTACCACATCCATATCGAGTGTATGAAATAATTAAATACCCAAATGAGACCAAACATATTCATTAATGCATTTATCAATACAAACATGTTCCATAAAGCATGAAAAGGTAGTAATGTATTACCTCGATTTTTGTGCCATACTAATCGACCATAAAAAATTCATTCGAACGCCCTCGATCTTTAAATCAACTTCCAATAATTTCTTTGATGCATATCAACTGAAATTTCATTAAAAACATAGCTTAATTGCGAAAAACGGATCGAATCGGGTGATTAATAGTCAAAAACAGCTTACCGGATTCGAATTTGACGAAACGGACTTCGGATTCGAATTAAGGACGTCGAAAAACATAAAATATGACTTTTTGAAAATTTTGACTTTTTGGTCAAAGTCAATGGTTCGACTGACAATTTCGAGGCTTTTGGATTCGAATTTTGAAAAACGGACTTCAGAATCGGACTCATGACATCAATAAACATAAAATAATACTTTTCAAAAATTTGACTTTTCGGTCAAAGTCAACGGTCAACAGTCAACAATCAACGGGTTAGGTCAACGGGTCGGGTCAAATCGGGTCTGGTCAAAACTGAGTCAAACTTTGTCTTTCTCACCACTTCAAGCGCCGGCGACGAAGGAGACACGGAGGACTCGGAACGATGCAAGGAACACGATGATGCGGGAGGTGTCGAAAACAGATGGTCAGATCGACGGAAAACCAACGAAAATTGATTTAAAACTAACGATACTTCCGACTGAAATTAATAACGAATGACGACGATTCATGACGAAAGGTTTGAGGAGTTTTGATAATCTTTCAACAACGAACACGATAGTGGTTTCAGTTCGTCAAACGGTGGCCGGAAGGTGAGTAGATCGAAGTTAAAAGGAAGAGAAATATGGGAAATTATGAAGAAAACACGCAGGGAAAGGATTATAATTCATCCCATAAAAAAATGGGTAAACCATGAGTTTAGTCACTGAATTTTCTGCACTTCTTAAAATAGTCTGTCAAATTTACAAATTTATAATTTTAATTCTCAATTTCTTCCAAAATACCAATTAAATCTAATACTTTATAATTTTTAAAATTTAGCCAATAAATTGAGATGTTACGTCAGCAAAGCTGGGTATTCCTTTGACCCATAGAGGCGTTGCAATAAGTGTTAGGTTTCTCACAGGTCACTCAAGAAAAGGTGGAACGGATCCTCTTTTTGTTGCCGAGAATGCTGCTGACCCAGATTCAACTTTAGTGGTTTATATGGGCTTATCTACCCTCCTATTGCACAAAGATTGATACATCATGGCCTACCACCAGATACACCAGCCGCAGCAGTCGAGCGAGGAGCCACGCCTCAACAGCGCACGGTAAGCACAATGTCACACATGATTTCTTCACAACATCATCTAATGATTCCATTTTGCAATGCCATACAACATGAATTAATGCATTAGCGGGCAATTCATTGTAACCATAAATCTTATTTAAGTATGGTTGTTTTTTTTATAATGGTACAGGTCTTTGCAGAACTAAAGGATCTTGCCGATAAAATCAAAACGGACGAATTAGTATCACCAACACTAATCATAATCGGGAAGGTTGTCTCTCTTTCACCATTTTGGCCAGAGTCTTCAAAAGAAGCATCCTCTCTGGTCGAAGCCTAACTAACAGACCTATGAGACAACAGCTAAAATGATTACTAATTAAGAGGTTTGATCAGTTTTGATTTGATTTTAAGAGCGAATGAGAGATCAATTTCTAGGCTGCTTTTAAGGTGCACACAAGCAGTTTTTGGTACTTCTTGGAATTGTTAATGTTAACAAGAAGAAGAAGCCACCAACTTTCAGTGCTAATATTTGTTTGTATCTTCTTTTGAACAATAGGAACTTTCTCTAGGGAATTATGACGTGTTGATTTACCACACTCGAGGAAATTGGGAATAATTAAGAAATGTGTACATGTTAGATACAAAACATGATATTTCGTTCAATCATATTGTATATACATATAAATTAATAATATTATACCCGAAATTAAGGGTTTAGCTCGTTTCGTGCGACCGACATTATGACATCTAACGAATCCATGATTCGAATCTTAACATCTACAACCCTCTCGTTCTTATACATCCAAACTGCTTTGGACAACAGTATTTTGATTGTGAACTCAAGATAAAATTGGATTAATCCTCACTAACAGAGACAGGGTTAGCTTTAACTATTAACTCCAAGAATCACCTTTGTAACTAGACCTATTCAATACCCAAAAACTTTGGATGCCAACCCTAATAAAGGATCCAATGCACTTGGAGCAAACTTCCTTGCAAAAAGATAGCAAATAGTTGATGGCTGGCCATTATATAAGCAGGATTTACCTTCAAAAATTCTCTTAAAGAAACTTTCAGTAATATCAGCTTTCCCGAAAGTGGCCGGATGAGCGCCACCCCTCGACCAGTCTGTCCAAGTAAGAGTCCGGTTTGCCAAGAGATGAGGCAATTGGATCGTCAGCATTGTGGGGAAATAATGCTCGTCGACATAACAAGCGGGACGGCAGAACTCCTTGAACTTGGGATAATAAGTGGTGTCTTTAATTATATCTACTGCAAGCTTTCTGTTAACTTCGAACCATTGAGACCCTTTACGCCATTGGCTAAGTGTGACCTCCGGTTGCATGCGATGGTTGTAGCGTCCTCGCCCGTAAGGTCCGGGTTCATCGAATGAGCCCATAAAGCTGTATTTTGATCTTGATATGTAGTGATAGATTATGCTGAAATTGTACAGGGGAATGCAAGACTCGGACAAGAGAATCAACCATTCATTAGAGATGTCGAGCAACGCATTGGCCAGGAGTCTTCTCTCTGCCTCGCACATACTCATCCTTCCCCACTCCACTATCTGCAATACATTGAAAAGAAAAATAAATCAAATAATCTAAACAAAAATCTTCAGGGAACAAACAACCTATATCTCGTTTGTTGAAATACGTTTCTCTTTTCATATGCTAAAGTATGGGAATGCATTGAAATGGTGATCAAGGCTTTGCTGCTAAAAACACAATATGGAAAAATGCAAGAATGCAGGCAAGTGGCAGATTGACAGCACAAAGCTTAAAACAGTCATTTTAAATGACAAGTCCAACCAGTATTGTTAATCACTATGTTACTTAAAACTCGACTACTCTAGAAATCTGTAATGGAAATCGATTCATAATTAACAAGGATAAACATAGATAAAGGAGAAGAACAACTTAAATATGAGAATGAATCAAGTAAAAATCACAAAATCTCAACACAATACAAGCTCAATAAATTTATGTTATGTGAAGAAAAGATGAGATTGATACCTGACTTGGGATCTGTCTCCTGTAGAAAACTGATGATGGTGGATACCCACCAGTGTAGGATGGCAGTGCATGGACATATATGGAGTAAAGCCCTTCATGCCCCTTGAAGAATCTGTCCCAAAGCGGAGCAAGTGGCAATGGTCCCTTGGTCAAGAACATGAAGGCAATTTTGGGGACTCTTTTAAAAGGATACTCCTTGATCTGAGGAACAAATGAAGCTCTCCATAGTAATTCTATGTCATTCATATTATACATCAAGTTTGAAGGAGGCCTAATGAAATTTTCCAAGGTATTAGTAGCATCTTCAAACCAAGGCTGAACAGTGGATGGTGCTTTAGCTGCTATCTGTGGGATCATTGAAAATCGTACTGAATGCATACTGATGATGGATAACCCAACGCCCAGGACCATGAACAACAAACAGATTACAAGGATCCTTAAAGACAAAGCCCGGGAGAGGCTCGTTTTGGTTACAGAAACTGGGTCTTTACCTTCCTCCATAACCACCGCTCTTGGCTGCATCATAACTTAAATCCCTCGATTAACAAAAAAAAGGCTTTCTGGGTTTTGTATTTCCTCTAAAAACAAACCAAGAAACACCCTTTTAGGATCAAAAATTGCCCTAGCAGAACACAAAGCTTAAAACTTTGAAACACTGTCGTATACAGAAGGGAGACATAAATGAGCACAGTAAAGTACAGCTCTTTCTTGACAAATGTGTTTTTGTGAAACGAGAAGGGGAATAAGTATGGGAAGAGTGAGAAGAAACCCGTTGAGAAAAACGAGTTTTAGTTCCTGTGATATCGGAGTAATAGAAAGAGACACAGATGTATGGGATATTTCTTTAATGGCTTCAGCCTACATGGAGTGTCTTTTTTAACAAGTAGGTAAAACAAATGGGTAGAACCTCGGATTTGGTAACAAGTTTTGCCTTTTGCTTTGAGTTCAGAGCTGTGATTGTGTAGCTTGGCCTTGGGCAGCCATGTCCGCTTTTCGACAATGGTGTATTAACTATGAAGAATGGTCAAGAAACCCAGAACAAAGAAAAAAGTGATTATAACGTAATCACTATTCCCTGGGCCAACAAAACAAAGTTGCAAACAAAAGATGAACACATGTCGAACTGTGAATGATTGAGAATGATTGATTGAAGAGTAAATTTCAACTTTTTAAAGATGGGAATGATTCGGATGCGAGAAATTTCGCCCAGGGAATAGTATGTAGCGTCGAGAAAGATCAGTATGATCAAGTTATACAGTGCCATTGTATTTTGCTACAGATCCATGGCTTAAGTTTATATGTAAAGCTCAGTATTTGTGACCATTGGAGCTTGTTCGATTAGACTTGTTCAATTGGTTCAAAAAATTAAACTCAGATTTTAAATTTTATCTAAATAATAATATTAGTTTAATTATTTAAAATAAATTAATTATAAAATATCATTTAGATTTAAATTATTTATATATTTGTCACGGAATATACGATTACATTTGAAATAAGATTATTAGAATGTAATATTATTATGATAATATTGTATTACCTTGTTTGATCGGTTTAGTAGGAATGTAAGGTTACAGTGTTTGTTGAACGAATATAAGATTATTTGAATACATATTTTACAAAATTATCTCTGTGATATATGTTTTTTTCAACAAGTTAAATTTTAATATTAAATTATACATATTTAAATAAAAATTCATAAAAATATTTTAATTAATATAATTAATATATCAAACTTATATTTTTAAATAATTTTCATAAGTATCATATTTATTTATATAAAATAAAATATAATATAAAAATAGTAGATAAATATATTATTATATTTTGGGTAACGAAGAGAACACTAGAATCTACACACTATAACCATGTTGATCTGTGTGCAGCAGCTGTCTCACCAACTCCGGTGGTTCCTGGAAATGAATGCAATCCATCCTCCTCCTATCCGCTGTCTTTGCTATGCAATCGGCAATGCTATTACCTTATCTAGGCATATGATGGAACCTCACAACCCAATCCCTCTTGAGCAAAGCTTTCACGCTATGTAGAATCGTGAACCGAATGGCACCATCCCGAGCTTGATCGTCTCCAAGCTATCAGTCTCGACAATGATACGTCGACTTCCGATAAAGATATTATTTTTAATGTATAAAATTTATTTTTTAATAAATCAAAATCAAAATTTATTTTAAATAATTACATTTTTACAATAATATCATTTCTCACCTCATAAAATTATAAAACGATTAATATTATTAAATATTAAAAATATAAAATAAAGTTAACTACTTAAATTTATTAATAATTTACTAAATCAAACTCTTTGTGCATTATTACTATGTTTATAATTTTGAGTAAAGTACGAAGAATAAGAATCGAGAAAGATCCATACGGAAAGATTCATTATTCTAGAGATATTTTTGTTTAAAGTGGTAAAAATTGTTTATTACCTAAGAATTTGGAAGTAGAAGCATTCCCACCATTTTAACAATTTTTTTTTACTATTGGTAATAACTTATTAACTAGTAATAATTTTTCCGCGAATCAAATGTGAGAATACAATTCTGGAAAAATTATTCCACTTGATAACGATATTTTTTGCAAACCAAACGCCCCCTTAGATTAAATAAGAATAGCCGAGACATACCTCCTCAGATAATATAAAATAATTAATGTTAATAAGTATTTAAACTTGTGATTTGATTATGTTATTTGAACAAAAATACAATTTTATATTAGAATTATTGAGATTAAAATTTACAATAAGAACATAAATACATTCTATTCACGGATGACTTCCACATGAATCAATTTCACAATACGGGATTCATTTCACATTGTTATCAATGCCAATACGTGCAAGATTTTTTTTTCTTCGTATTAAACAGTCTTCAATAGGATGATCATAGTCAAAACAATTTGTTATCACCATATGCTGATGGGGCATATTGATTTATTAACACATCCGATCAATAATCTCACCGTTGAATGAAATCAACAAAAATCCAAAGGATGAAACCAGTTAAGCTTCAATTTAGTTAAGCTTAATTCAGCCTCTCAATTTATCATCTTCTACGTTCTGTATCAGTAGTGAACAATTCATCTGATGATACTTGCAGAGAATTTAGATAAAAAAAAAGTGATGGACGAGAAAACAAGGCACTTTGTAAATATTTGAAATCAATGGATTGTATTGTGGTTTTCTTAAACCAGAAAAGGCTACAAACTAAGAACAATATAATGCTAATAAAGCCAGAAAATGATCAATATGTAAATGTTCCATCATACTTTCAAACATCCTACAATGGAGGACTCTAAAAAGTTCAACCTCACTTCTCCGAAGAGTTGGGTCCTCGCTTCTTCCCAAAACCAACAACTGCCAAATAGCAACAAAAAAAAAACAGTCCATCAAATGCTCAATATGTGCAAAATTGCAAGATGAATCACATGCATAACTACTTCAGCCAAGCAATTCACAAAGAATTTCAGATAAAAGACCATATATAGGGCTACCTTGTACGTAGATCATACCGAATTTTGTTTTAATTAATAAATTTATAATAAACTATATTTTAATGGGATAACTAGTTTTACTGAATTGGATAGCTGGAGTTCATAAATTCAGAATGTGCATACCGATTCAAAAATCGCCAAGGACATAGCGATTTTCGTAGCTATGCCTAGTTAATAATAACAGTAACAAGGCAACATATTCACCTTTGTCTGAGACTAAATTCATTCACGAGAATAGGTTGAACAGATAACATATAATGAGAGTTAAAGGCAATATATCTCAAGGAAAAGGAAATGATTTGGATGAGTGCCTGAGCGGACAAGAACAAATAATACTAATAGGTGGTACAAGAAACCAGGAAACTCCTCATTAAAATGATTCATTGCAATTAGAGCAACAATAAAAAGTATTAAGGACTGATCAAACTGGACTGAACAAAACCAATTGTTGAAACCCAATCGCAAACTAAGTTCAAAATCAATTAACAACAAATTTCAACATCGTAAAGATCACAAAACAATATCAGTAAAATTTAATCTCTTCCCAAATTTATTTTTAAGTAAATGGGATTACGGATGACTAATATAAACAAGAAAAAGAGATAAGCTAACCGGCAGTGACGAAACGGCGGTTGTACTGCATCCGCTTATAAGCGCGACCTCTGGGCTTCTTCTTCTTGTCTTGCTTGGCTACCTTTGGAGTTTGCCCTCTCACTTTCCCGGCTCGTGCCAACGATCCGTGGACCTTACCTGTACGCCAATCACCGACATAGATAAAAAAACAAAATAATTCAAATGGAAATTATACCGGAAGTCTAGGGTTTACCCATTTTGTGTTTGTGGTAATTTATGTAGATTCTGATTACAGGTGCCGAGGGAGGATGGCGACTTTTGCTTAGGGCTACGGTTTTTTTTATCTGGTAGTTATTAGAGAACGAAATAGAACCGTTCTCTTGAAAACTTATTTGGGCCTTTAAAGTGTAGTCCAGAACTCATTACACAAATTTGAGTTGGGCTTTCTATAGTTCGTAATCCTTTATTTTTTCAGCTAAAATATTTTATTTCTCGAACTCAATTTTAAGTTTTAATTTGGTATCTAAAATTTTCTGTTTAATTAAATATTTAAATTAATATTTAATTTTAAAATTAAATATTTTTTATTCAATTAGACATCTGAATTTAGTTCACATACTCGAATTTAATCAAATTTAAACATACTCGAATTTAATCAAATTTAACTTTTATATATTCTAAAATTTCAGATAAATACAAATAATAAAATTTAGATAAATAAATTTAGTATTTATAATTCAAATCATTAATTTTTTAAACTTTACTAAATAAATAAACAATAAATATTAAAATTACTCATAATTTTTCCTCATTGAGTTAATGAAAATTTTAGGTTAAAAATATCTAAATTTAAATGTTAAATCATATATGAATTTTCTGATTCTAATTTAAATTAATTAATTAATTAATTTAATTCATTATATAATTATACAGTTGAGTCTTGTAATAATTCATTATGATTGTTTGATTAAATAGTATTTGGAGACTACAACAGCATAAAATAAAAACTACAAGGACTACATGAAATATTTCTCCAAAAGAAAATTTCCATTTTACCTTATCTTTTCGTTTATATACTCTACAATCAGTTTTCCCTCTCCTTTCATAAACCCAGCAAAAACCCTTAAATGGCCTCCATCCCAAGCCATGCCTTAAGACACTTCACCTTAACTCGGCCATGGCTTCGCAAAATCCGCTGTACGACGTCTCTTGCGTCTTCCAGTGAAGAGCCACACCAAATTCTCCCTCACAACACCGATACTGCCGCCAAAAATTCCAACAACAGCAAGTCACAAGCTTTCTTCCCGAAGAAAAACCAAATCTTGGAGCTCGAATGTGAGAGCCTGGCTTTTAAAGGGAAAGGTGTATGCAAAGTGGCAGATTCTGGGTTTGTTTTGTTGTGTAACAATGCACTTCCTGGAGAACGTTTCATTGGCCGTGTTAGTCGTAAGAAAGGAAGTTATGCTGAGGTAAGTTGAATTGTAATTTGTGTTCATTACCAATTATGAAGCGCTATTCATGAGACCCAACTCAAGCTATCGTTTTTTATTATAAATTCCAAATTTTGAGTTAATGTGTTGATTGAAGAGAGTACTAGTTGATGAGTAATCTCCACAAAAAAATTGTTTTTATGATATGAAGCATTTCACATTTGTTCATGAATTTCTGTTTGCATATTTTCCTCTAAACTGGTTTATGTCTTTAGGAGAATGTGGAAGGCTTTAAAGTAATGTGGATTTGATGAAATGAGATACATGTGTTTGGATAATTGTTTATGAAGATTTGATCCTTCAACAATTACAGGATGTTTTATCTGTTAATATACAGGTTACAAAGTTGAAGACCTTATCTCCTCACTGGGACTTTGTAGATGCCCCTTGTGAGTATGCATCGTACTGTGGAGGTTGTAAAACGCAAAACCTGTCTTATGAGGCTCAGCTCAGAGCTAAGGAGCAACAAGTACGTGAATTGGTCATCCATGTTGGAAAGTTTTCGGATAAAAACCCGGATTTCTCACATATTATGAAGCCCATCGTTCCCTGTGATACACAGTTTCATTATCGGAATAAGGTAAGTGTGGAATTTAGAGATTAGTTAGGCTCAATTTGATTCTGTGCTAAGACTTGGAATATTTATATCTCTAGCTACCTAGTTAAAAGCATACTGTATAGTAGTTTGTGAGGTCTGAATTTATTGTGAATTTAGTCCTCTGGTTCATATGGGGACTTCTGTCACTTGCTATCCTTTGGGAAGTACAGTATAGTTTTGGATATGTGAGTACCCGTGCACTTTTTTGATTAATTTCATTTTCCTTATTGTGAATTTATGTTTTCGATTGCATATACACATTGTACTTGTTTAACGAATCAGATAGACAATAGTTGGAACACTTGCATTATTATTTAATCATAAACCTATAAAAAATCGAAGAAAGAGAAAATGTCTTGCATCTTGTACACTGACATGCATCTGTATTGATCATATAATCCAACAAAGGATTTGGTGACCCTTGGAACTATCATTTTTTATATGTTTCTCATATGTCCAAAGTTGGTACGTGGTAGCCAATCTTTGGTCTTTTTTGCTTAGTCATGCAATCTTAGTTTTCAAATGGTGTTATTTATTATGAGAGAATAATTAATGTTATCAAGTCATGTTTTTATCTTATTTCATGGATCATTAATTATCATTTCATGTTCCAAATTTACGATTATTGTTCCAGGGACATGAGGACTGGTCTACCTGAACTTATGGTCAACTTTGTCACCTCATCTTACAAGCCAGAGATGCTGAAACCCTGGTTGAGAAAATTTCAACAATTCCTGAAGTGGTATGTGTTAATTGTGCTTTATAAATGTGAATTTGCTTTATTTTGTTTATACGGTGATATCTGCTTTTGAACTACTGTATATCCACCAATTTTTATCTGTGGTTTGATTCTATGTTGGATGAGAATTGAGTGACCCCAAATCTGATTAAAGTCCACTGGACCAGTTATCCAGTTGAACGATCTTTATATCTCCCCTGCTCCGCTTGTGTGATTCTTAGATCCCAAACTGGATTGGTTTGACAGACTGCAGATCTAAACACAATTGATGTAAAATGAGGCTTCATGAAATCCTTTTTCTTTTCTTTTTTTGCTTTTTTTTCTGCATGAAGCGATATGATCAAAGAGAGTTTTATGATGCCGAACCAGATCTTCTGAGTCGCATTTTCTCTCTCCTTCAGTTGCACAAAGTCATTGCCAGTGATTAAAACACTCAAGATGTCGGATTTTTAATAAATAAATGAAATAAAAGGTTCAGGTTGATTTCCATTTTATATTATGTCCATTTATGGATTAGGTACTTCAAGTGAAAGGTTACTGATTCATTCCCCATCAAATTTGCACTGTTCATACTGTCTATTGCTTATGTTATTGCTTGAGCATCTGAAATATTGACTGCTTAAATGCTAATATTAAGCTTATAATCCTAATTGTTTTTCTTGTATGGTGAGAAATATACAATTACGAAACAAGTTAAAATGTTGGTCACTTGATAGTTCTTGGCTTCCGAGTAAACATGCCTTTTGTGGTGACTCTTGTACATCTTTATGCTCCATCTTTCCTATTGACTTTCTTATTGAAACTCATCTTTAAAGTGGTCATAATATCCTTTGAAAGCAATTCTCCATTAGACAAAGTATGATGCTTTGCAAAATCTTGACAAGTTTTTATTGACGAGATAAATTATTTGTCTTTTTATGCTTTTCAGGTTAGTATTATGAATAATGTAAATACTTCTATTGGTAACACATCTGTTGGCGAGGAGGAGTATACATTGTATGGGAAATCTACAATCACCGAAAGTTTGAGAGGTCTAACATTTCAAATTTCGGCAAACTCTTTTTTTCAGACAAATACTCATCAGGTATGTATTTTGACCAATATTAAGTGCATTCATATGGTGTGCTTCTTTAACGTATTTTTATTACTCGGATGTTCCATTGTTTTCTCTTTCATGACTACTGTTCTTGATTAACCTTTACTGAAATGATTTTACACTGTTAGGCTGAGGTTCTCTATAAACTAATTGAAGATTGTGCTGGCTTGAGAGGAGATTCTTCCGAAATTGTCCTTGACTTGTTTTGTGGGACAGGAACCATTGGTCTAACACTTGCAAAAAAGTATTTCCCTCCTCAGCTTTTCATTAATTGATCTCAATGCAGAGAGATGCCATATAAATATTATATTTCAACATCATAATTTCTTTTTCAGGGCTAAACATGTTTATGGTTATGAAGTTGTTGCTCAAGCTGTTGCAGATGCTAATAAAAATGCCAAGCTGAATGGAATAAATAATACTACATTTGTTCAAGGAGATCTCAATAAAATTGATGAAAATTTTGGCAAGCATTTTCCAAAGCCGGATATCGTCATTTCAGGTTACCTTCCTATTGGACACCTCGTATATGTAGTTTTAATCACCGTTATAAACAGTATTTGAAGTTTTATGAGTGTAAATGTGATGTCTGATAGCTTTGCTAGGTGAGTGAAAGATGCTGCAAAATTGTGCACTGGACACCTCGTATATGTAGTTTTAATCACCGTTATAAACAGTATTTGAAGTTTTATGAGTGTAAATGTGATGTCTGATAGCTTTGCTAGGTGAGTGAAAGATGCTGCAAAATTGTGCACTGTGATTTTGATGTACAAAGATCTTGCTTTATGAGCTTCTGAAATTGAAAATTGGGGTTGGATTTGGTGAAATTAATGGTCATATTGTTTAGAAACAAGTGATACAAAGTCTTGAACAGAAATTTATCCACCAAATTTTAGCATTCTATTCAAATATGCTAGAAAACTTGGAGAACATTTTATATGACATATGCAATGGAATCATTGTTGCGATTGGTGTCTATTCGACGTTGAATTTTTCACCTTGATTTGCAGATCCAAATAGACCCGGTATGCACATGAAGTTAATCAAGTTTCTGCTAAAGCTTAAGGCTCCGAAAATTGTCTATGTATCATGTAATCCCGCGACTTGTGCTCGCGACATTGATTACCTTTGCCATGGTGTGGTAAGTATATGGTATATCCGACATCTGCATTGTTGAAAATCTTATGATCTATCATATGAACCATTTCGAAAACCTTAATTTCATGCAGGTGGAGCAAAAAATCAAAGGATGTTACAAGTTAAAAAGCATACAGCCAGTAGACATGTTCCCTCACACTCCCCATATTGAATGTGTTTGCCTATTGGAGCTTTGTTGAAGACTAGCATTCACCTATTGGATACCTGTAATTCTTTAATTTATTTTATGATGAGAATTCTGATTAATTACATCATTTCAATTAATTCAATTTTGTCTCACATTTCTTTTTTGGTCTTTAGTTTTTGTGGCTTACTTTTATACTTAGGATAGCCAATCACAATAGAGCTGGGTAGCTATCTGTTTCTACGGTTAAGAAATTGCTCCTTGGTTAAGCTAATAGTCACTGGTCAGCTCTCAGCAGCACACAAAGGTAAATCTAGTGGTCCATATGACACCAATGCAACAGCAACAACCACAACGGCACAACACAAAGTCAATTCTCCCAACTTGAAATCCAAATAAGCTTATATGCACATGCAAATCTGTTATTTTATAACTTATGAAGTATGGTCAGTTTGAATGACATACAAAAATCCAAAATTCCCAGCCTGAGATATGGCCACTTTCTCAACAGGTTGTCTAAATTTAGCATGTACTTCCAAACCACAAAGCTCTCACTTGATCCATTCAAAAGCCACCTTTTTTTCTCACCTCTACAAGAAATGGATGAAGCATTTATTTTTTTTAAAAGAATCCGCATCATATCATCATTGTTGTACCTCCTCTAAATCATTTTCGCAAACTGTACTTCTGCTATCACTCTTTCTTCTATTAAAATCTCCGAAAGAATTTTTCCACTGATTGAAGCTTTCGTAATTTCTATAAGTCTTTGGTGTCCCACATCTTTAGTCTAGCCATAATCTCTTGACAAGATTATTGGCTGGCTCATGTGATCCGTCATAGCCAAATTTACAATCTAACAATCATATCTATTTGCCATACTAGTCTACAAATAGTTATAATGACCTTGACATGACACCAACACTAAAGTTCAATATATAAGCCACCATGCATGGCTAAAGGGATTTCGAAACTCTTCCTCTTTTGATCTCTCTCTACATCCCATATTATCTTTTTTAACTTTTGAATTACCTATGTGAGTCTCCATCTAAACAAGAAGGATAGACCATCTAAAACCTGTACAATAAAATTATCAACTATCAACATAATGGAGACATTATTAGTTGATGGTTCTATGGATTATATAAATTATAAAACAGAACTGGGAGTTGAATAACCATATATATTACAAATAGACCTGCCAAAAAAGAAGCAAAACATGTGCTAAGCAATTAGATTCCGGGATGGTTTTCAAGAGCACGCTTTGGGTTGAATCAAGGAGACCGGACCACTGGCTGCGGCTAGATTTTTTTAGAGAATGTTTTTTTTTGCTTTGGTTAGCTAAACAAAGTACACATTAAAGGAAAATCAACATAAAATAATCTCCAAGAAAAAGAAAATGCTTTTAAAATACAGAGAATGCATTGAACAAATTATATTATAAAGAGTAGTAAAGTGATTATCAGAATCACTTTTCTGGCCCTTGATCTTAATCATAAGTGCTGTAATTGCTAAACCTTTTTCATATGATAAAAGGTTGTCAAGAACTAAGCCCCTTTCTGCTCTTTGGTGATGGATACAATGACGATGATAATCTGAAAATCTATCATTACAAAGAGTTTTTTTTTATAATACGTAATGATGAAAATGATGATAACCAAAGGATTTTGATTAGTCTTTTAAATACAGTAGTACTTGTTCTGAGACTGGGACATGCTAATCATTAATGGAGGATCATGAAATGATGATCTCTGTGGATGGTGGATATGATTAGGGTTTTTGGAGTGGAAAGTTATGTGTTTGCATGGGGAGAGAATGGTCGAATAGTAAAGGAGAGAAAGCTAGATTTGAAGGAGGATATTGCATTGGTTCAAGCTTGTTGCCTAGGTTTTCTAGTGCCTTGACTTGGGACCTAAGGAACTTTAGATAATTCGCAGCCTCATCAAGCATTGATGCAGTATCCATCTTGCTCCCACCAGGAACCAGCTTCTGCAAAACCCTAATTCTCTCACTTATCCTCTCCCTCCTTTCCCTCGCCGCCACAGTTTGTGGATCGGTCGATATCCTAACGTTCTTCCTCTTAGGTTTCTCGACCACGTCCAAGCCTAAGTTCACTGGCCTGAACGCCGCGGCTCGGTAAATCATCTCTTTCATTTGTGCAATGGCCTCTGGATCAGGTTCTTCAATGGATGAAGATACTGATGAACTTGCACGCTGTTGAAAGTTGATATTCGATGAGCTCGAATGCTTTTCCGATCTGACTCTCTTTGCTTTCGGTGGGTTCTCGGGGATAACCCTAAAACCACCTTCTGTTGCAGGAGATTCAGTATGAAGAAGATTGAAGTAACCACAATTTAGACAAAAATTTAACTCATTTTGGTCATTTTTTCTCTTTGAGGTAACCACTACTTCATTGAGCTCGTTTACCGGACAATTGAAGTCTTTGCTTCCGGTATTCGAGCCATTGTTTTCAGACTTTCCCGATGAAACTTCATTGCTAGCAGCGAAACTCCATAGGTTTTTACAACCAGAGAAAATCATGGAAATGCCATCATCTTCAACCAATGTATCAGTGTTGCTAGTATTAGTAGCAGAGATCAAACAATCAAGGGACTCAAGAAAGTCTGTTGTTCTACCACCACCACCAATGACTTGTGAGTGAACAGGCTTGCCAATATCAGAAGCCGAACCAGTTAACGTGCTAGAATTACCATAAGCTTTATTCAACACAGGAGAAGAGAAAAGCCCTTGTGTTAAAGCATCCTCCCAGTTGACAGATTTTTGCAGCTCTTGAATTGGATAAAAGATGTCTTCTGGCAGATCTTCCATCTTGCCACCGTAAATGGAAGACTTGGGAATCAAGAAACAACCATCTCCGATATCGTTTAGCTGATTGTTCCACATCCACACAGGCAACGATTTTACTTCGATTTCAGAGGCGTCCCATTCCAAGGCATCCATGGATGAAACTTTCAAAGCCAAAGAACAACAGAAAAATTACTTGCTTTAAGAAATCATCCAACAAAAGATAAACACGAAAGCATTACCAAAAAAACAGGTTGAAAAAGGAAGATATTTCATCTACCTTGAGCTGTTGCAGAGAAAAGTAGTCGCAAAGTATATATGTTGAACGCATGCATGCCTATATAGATAGGACTTGAAGAAAAAGGTGGCTAAATAAAAAATATAATTTCATGTTTGAAAAAAGACGATGCTTTTTGGTCGGTTTGGGTGGGGTGTGTAAGAGCATATTTCTGCAGATGAGTGCATGAGATATAGCAGAGGTTTTAGTAAAGGCTTAGGGCTGGTTTAAATTATTAATTAAGTTCTAACAGTTTCTCATTTGTATTTTGCTAGTGAAGGAATCAATGGTGGAATTAGCAGAGTATTTAACTCAAATTTCTACGCTAAATAAGCTCCTTCCCGATACGATGCTTGATTAATTAAGACCCGAAATACAAAGGCTAACCTGGAAGGGCACGAGAGCTAGCCATGGCTGTGTCTTGGACAAGTGTTCTATTAATTAGTATTTTCTTTTTTAAAATTTAATACTAATAATGAAAATATAATAATTTTTTTTATGTTTTATTCTTTTAATAATAATTCGGGTTTGTGAATCGATCCGTGCTGAGTTTAGACGAAAGTTTATAGAATAAAGAGAAGTAAAAACTAAAAGCAAAAGTAGAAAGCTAGTGTAAAAGCCATTCAAAAGGTCCTGTTTTTCACAGTAAAAAAATTGGTGAAGACAGAGAGCACAATGTCATATAATAGAATTATAGTATATGGTAAACTAAACAAATGGTTGCTGAATTATGAGTAAATTTCTTTTTCTATCATTAAAATTTAAATAGTTACAAAATAATCACTCAACCATTACCTGATCCCGGTCATTTTGTCACATATTCTTTTTTTTGGAGTATTTTGACCCCAAACATTTTATTTTAGGATAAAAAATCCTAATATTTGATTGAATAGTCAATTTCCCTTTTTTTAAGCATTTTGACCCCAACGTTTCATTTCAGGATAAAAAAACCTCTATTTTGGAGCGTTAACCGTTTGCTAACTAACGATTTCAATCCACATAAGGGTATTTTTTTCCCAAAATAAAACGTTGAGGGCCAAAATGCTCCAAAAAAAAGAATAAAGATAAAAATGATCATTTTGATAAACGTTGGAGGCTAATTTTGACATTATACCTATCCTATTTACGAAAGGACTTGGCACCGTTTAACCATGTCGGACCACGACTGTCGTTCTTTTGACTCCCATAAAAAAGTTTTCTTTAACAAAGTCCCAAATTCTTAAATAAATCAAAAGAATTATTTCATAAAAATGATGAACACAACTTTGTAATAAATATGGGTTACAAATTTAGTTAAAGAAACAAACACGAAAAGCACTACCTAGCGAGGGGAGTACTCAATTCAGAATCCAGATTAACACTAATCATTTCATTCTCCACAGCTAAATTCTCATGATTTTTGGCCTTTCGAGCTACCTCAATCGCTAAACAATCTTCCAGTTCCATTACCACATGATTCATGGGTGGCCTTCTAGAGGGAGTTGGATGTAGGCAAGCCATTGCTATTTCCAGAGCTTTCCAAACAGAATTCACATCAAAATTTCCCTGCAATCTCTTGTCAACAGTGTTTTGAATGTTCCCTCCCACAACCTTGGAGTTAGTCCATTGACTTATGTGTAAAACCTTTTCATCTTCAGCTCTTATAATTGGAGGTTGGCCTGTGATTATCTCCAGCAGAACAACCCCAAAGCTATAAACATCACTTTTCTCTGTTAACCTCTTTGATCTGCAGTACCTGCATGCAACCCAAATCAGCAACTAACAATTCAGATGGTTGGTTGATTTGTATTAGGCTTGTCATCAACCCCCATTAACTTTTTTCTTCTCGGTTATTTGTATGAGTAGGAGTTCATTTTTCAGTTTTAACCGAATTAACCGATCGAACCGAATTAGTTCGGTTAATTCGGTCGGCCACCGAATTAGTTCGGTCGGAGAATTATTAACATTTTTTTCAATATTCAGTTACAGTTAATTCGATTCGAAATCGGTTAATTAACCAAATTAACCGAAATTATTAAATATGAAATATATTATATATATTAAATACATATTTTAAACTTAAACTCATTAAGAATTAAGACTCAATTATTTTTTAATCACATTAAACTCATTAAATTATCAATACCTAATTAAAATTTTAACCCAAATAAAAAATACTTATATTATATTCAAATTAATCTAATTAAAAAAATTATAATTTTTTTTGGTTAATTCGATTAACCGGCCAAAATAACCGAATTTTATTCGGTTCAGTTAACGGTTAAAGAAAAAAATTCGGTTAATAAAAATTCGGTTCGATCAGTGATCGAATTAACTATTTGAACAACCCTATGTATGAGGTTTGTCGTGAAGATCCTTTTATCATTTTACTTTTGGCATAATATCAAAACTCACCCCTAACATTTGATAAATAGTAATTTAGGTTACTTTTCTTATTTTTAAGTACTTTGCCCCAGCGTTTTTTTTTTTTTGTAAAATGTGTCCTGGTTGAATGAAAATCATAGTTGACTAATGATAAATGTTTATTCGTTAATGTGATAAATCCAAAGTGATGATGTGATATGTGCCATGAAATCACTTTTGTACAAATAGCATGGGTCACATCATCACTTATGTATATGTGGTATGTGTCACATCATCATTTTGAATTCATAATACTTATTTCATCAGAGACAAACATTAACCGTTAGTCAATTAACGATTTCTATCTAATCATGATCATTTTATTCTAAAACGAAACGTAAATATTTAAAATATTCTAATAAAGAATAAAAGTTAAAATCACTATTTTATCTATCGTACGAGAACACAACTAAATATAACCCAATCTTGTGGACAGAACTATTATATAAACGTAATTAATTTAATGCAAAAATAATAAATGTATAAAATTGACTTTGAAAATGGAGAGAATGAAAGCAAAGGCACATACTCAGGGTCAAGGTATCCGGGTGTTCCAGCAACAATATTAATGGAAACGTGAGTGCCACTTTCAGACTGAAAATATCTAGAGAGCCCAAAATCAGCCAATTTAGCTTGCAATTTGTCATTCAACAAGATGTTGGCCGTCTTCACATCTCTGTGCACTATGGGTGGCTTACTCCCATTGTGCAGATACTCTAGACCTACAACCCTCATCATCAAGCTTTTATATCAGCAGCAACAATAACAAATAATATTATAATATATATATCTGTATATATTTACAAGTTTTCAGCTATATATGGCTAGCAAGCTCCAAACCTTGTCCTGGCTCCATTGCTATACGAAGTCTCCCCTCCCAAGTCAATTAATCTTCTGTGTTACCTGCAATTGCAACAGAGTTTGAATACTAATAATGAAGAATTTATAGATTATATGGGAGAAAATCACAGTTAACCTGACAGGTAGTTTCTTAGATTTCCATTAGCCATATACTCATAGATGAGCCCCATGTTGTTGTCTTCATTGCAATATCCAACTAGGGCTGTCAAGTTTCTATGATGAGCCGTCAAAAGAAGTTCCACCTGTACTATTCATTAGATTTTTCAAATTTATTTAGAAGTATGTTTATATATGAAGAGTTTTGTAGAGTTACCAACCTCTGTCTGGAACTCCTTGTACCCTTGCAATGATGATGAGGAAAGCATTTTCACTGCAACTTGAGTGTCACCAAAGCAGCCATGGTAAACTGTTCCAAATCCCCCTTGGCCGAGAATCCTCTCGAAGTTGTTGGTCATTTTTCGAATCTCCGAGTATGTGAATTGTTGAGTCTTCGACTTCAATTGCATCGGTTTCGATCTCGTGTTCTCATTCACTGAAAAATGTACTCAAAAGAGTTGTAGCAAATTGAAATTTTCTTTTCCAGGGTAATATCTTGACTGCTGCACTGCATGTTAGAATGCTACTGGAATCGTACCTTGTTTTCTCCTTAGCATCCAAAGAATACCCAATGCTGCTATGATGATGAACGACGCACCAATTGATGCTACACCTGGAACAATGAACTTATTGTTGGTCTTCTTCTCCTTCTCCTTCTTCTTTGTGCATGAATTTGGAGAACAGAGATTTTGGTTTCCATCAAAGCTACATTTTGTACAAGAGACGAGAATTAAAGATGGTTCATGAGACACATTAATGTGTTTTCATTCTGAAAGTAATCTCATTCGCACCTTAGTGACAACAATTTCCGGTCAGATTTTGAAAGAAGCTCAGCTGGAACAGTGCCTGTCAGATTGTTTCCGGTCAAGTTTCTGCAACACATACAAAATGTGATTTTTCTTTTCCTACTAAGATTTAAACTCTTTTTTCCCCCTGTTAACACAAGTCACTTACAGGGACCGCAACAATGGCAATCGAGATAGAAAATCCGGTATCGATCCCGTCAAACTATTATACGATAAATCCCTGACAAATAACAGCAAATTACTATCAAGTAGATGTTGATCCTGCATGATATTACATATTATCATAGGAACAAAAACTTACAAAGTTTGTAAAGATGTGAGTTTGGATAGAATTTGAGGTATATTCCCGGTTAAGCCGCTTGAGGACAAGTTTCTAATTGAATTCCATCTTATCAAGAGATATAAACTGAAAATATAAAGATGAAGGCCGCTTTGAAGTTTGATGACAGGACTTACACAGATATGATTGCAGGTGAATTATGATCATTGTAGCTGCAATCGACACCATCCCACGAATAAACTCGAGGGGCACGTGGATCACCTTGCCAATTACTTCTCCTTGCTCCATACAATGATTTGATGCTCATGATTGCATCAGCTAACATGTTTTCATACAATAATCAGAAGAAAAATCTTATACATCGTGAACCGATAACGAAAAGTTGACAAGACCGTACCATCTCTTCTGTTGGTTTGTGATTGCGTGAGGTTGG